TATATATATATATATATATATATATATTATATATATATATATATATATATATATATATATATATATATATATATATATATATATATATATATATATATATATATATATATATATATAATATAATATAAGTGCCAAGGAGTGGCTGGCTGTACAGCGAATACCTCTCTTGGAGTGTTTGTATTTCTTTGAGACGGCGACATATCAAGCTCCAGGCGATATATCAAGCTACAGGCGATATATCAAGCTACAGGCGATATATCAAGCTACAGGCGATATATCAAGCTACAGTCGATATATCAAACTACAGGCGATATATCAAGCTACTATTGCAATGGGGTGCGCCACCACGCTGATTGACAAATCAACGAAACCTTGATCGTTGTTCTAATGTTTATTTCCATTTGGCCCGGTCTATCGATCGTGCCAGGATTTGGCGGATATCAATCAGCCCATGGTTTGAGCTAGTATAGCAAGCCCTCGTGTATCCAACAGTGGATATCACACCATGCGTTTATATATGCAGCAGAAAGGGCCGTCCCGCACATTAAATCGGGATGCTCTACAGGTCTTCTGGTATAGTATTCGGTGAAGCATGAGAAGGCCCGAGTAGTTTAGGATGCATGTGGCGAATAACCCTGCTGCTAGGCTGCGCAACTCTTCAGGGCGCAACATTATCGAGCACACAGCCATATCGTACCGTCTATCAGAGGATTCGGTATCATTCTATCCCCGTCGGAGTGCAAATATGCATGTATACAGTATGCTACTATACAAATGCATGAGCTATAAAGATTCGTATATGTACACTGATGCATCAGACAATCTCATCGCCGTCTTTGTTTCGTGGGAGGCTGGTCCGTGAGCATTGAGTCATCCTCATCTTCATCATCATCATCATCATCATCATCATCATCATCATCGTCGTCGTGATCATATCGCTCAATAAAGCTTTCGGTGATGCCGAACACCTTTATGATATTCTGTTGTTGTGCCACGCGTCGTTTAGTATTGAAGTGGGGTATATGGATAAAAATTAGAAGGCGTATTCAGCAAGCAAGAAAGAACGAGATGTTGTTATAGGGCAAACTGGTAGATAGTCTAACGACATGTGGGTTATCTTATGTACGCGCTTGTGTACTTTCCTCCCGTCGCCACATGCACGGATAAATATGCAGGTGAACACACCTCTATTGTCCAGGTGCAGCTAAGAGAATACGTAAATACGTAAATAGGGTTTTTATTAAATATGCACAATTTACAGCCTAAATAAAACTTTAGCTGTCATGTTGAAAAAGTGAGTTGAATACAATCACCTATGAACGCAAAACTTTTACGATGCTTCGACAATAAGCGTACACCCGGCAACTATATTTGTTAGACGCGACCAAGCCACACTCACTACCGGAAACTAGAAATCACACAGATACATACCTGGTAAGCAAATAGGTTCTCCTGCCGAATATAGCTACACATAAGAGACGCTTGTACACATATACACAGTAACTGCATACACGACCACCTATACCGCTATTGATGCACACAGTCAGACAACCGTACAGGACTCCCAACAATCGACTGCTAAACGCAATCACTATCACATGTGCGCGAATACGATATTCAAAGACACTACTTGTGACAAACCGAAAAAATCCACGCATCCTATATACATCTATCCCAAATTCTATAACAACGAGAGTTCGCCAACCGGTCTCGTGTGCAAAACATAAGTAAACATCCAATGCACCCACACACCTCCCACTCATCCATGGTTAGCTCCATAATCAGCTGACTCTTCTGTGCCAAAGTATCCTCCTCCGCATTGTCCAATTTGTCTCTCCCAGGAATATTTGCTACAATTTACGTGCAGAATGCATATAGTCAGGCAATATATATATATATATAAATATATATATATATATATATATATATGTATATATATATATGCTTCAGTATTGCAAATCCGTTACATATACTTCAGAGCTGTGAACATAAATATGAGAAAGTTGTAACATACAGATCAGTGGCAGGCCTTGTTCAGACAGAGTCAGCATGGCGTTTCTGAGTTTGACGATGAATGACAAATGGAAAATATTCTCCACCGTGCGCGAGAAGCTTTCCGGGTCGACCACAAAACTGAAAAAGCACATGGGCTCAGTTAACGATTGAACCGAGCTGGTGAAAGAAAGGAGAAAAGTGAATCGGTTATGACGAAAAAATAGCCAATTTTATATTGAAGATGTAAAGTGAGAGGACAGAAATACAATTGTGACGGCTCAGATGGAAAAATTGCGCACCATTCGAACAAATGAAAGAGGCAGGACTGCATAGTGCAACTGTGGATGTAAAACAAATAAACCTGATTTGGGAATAACGATTGTATAACCTATTTTGCTTTGACATCAGAAGAAAAAAATAATGATTAAACAAGACACCATGAAGAACTCTCTCAAACTGTTGTGTGAGTATTCTACTACTCCGTCCTGGATCACATCATTTTCAAGTAACCATACACAAATCAGAGACAACAAGTCAATGCCAATAGACACTACTCATGAGAGCTACGTCATGTATGTGAAAACTATCAACGACGATTGTGTGCTACTTCATATCAAGTTTCAAATTCCGTGCATTGCTACTCCGCCTCGCGACGGAACCGCCTGTTCGGTACTTGCCCAGAGTAACTAGAAGCACGAGCACATCTAGACCGCCCAGACAGTGTAAAACTTGTGGTTATACATATGCTGTAGCTTCCTAAGCACACATCAATACGCCAGAGCATATGTTAGACCACAAATAGATACTTCTTCAATATTATAACCATCTTGCAATATGGACGCGAACCCATACCTGTACACACGCATAATAGCCTTGTCTGTCGGCTCCTCTATCTTTTTATTTTTATCTTCTCCCTGAGTAGATTGAAGTTCAGGAGTTGTAGGAGTGAGCTATATGACTGTGAGATTTGGAAACATGGACATCGTTGCATTGCTTTCGATGAATGAGAGTGATAATATGTTCAAGCTTCGCCTGCGCACAATTACGCACGAGCTCATCATGTTGCGAAAAAAGTTCAGTGCGTAAATGGTTGAAGCGAGCATAAAATATCTATGTGCATTAACAAAGGCATGAATACACACAACCCACGCAGAAATGTTACAACGGGCAAAAGCACTCATTCGAACGCAATGGTACAACGGGCAAATGAACTCATTCAAACACATACACGAATCTAGGTGCTAGATGCAGCCATAGCCTAACTGGTGGGATGCTTGCAAACCTACACTTTGGGGGACCACTTTTTTGGCTTCCTTGTCCACTATCCGCTCAGTATGTTTCCTCGGTTTGATTGGTTTGATATTGACTACTGGCCCAAGCCTGTCAGCGTACACAAACGGTATCGCCAAGTCCAGTGGCAGATCAGATTTAGCAATAAAACCGTACACGACCGAGCACATGCATTATGGCTTACATAGGAACTTCAGACTTCAGATATACATATGATCTTACTTCAGATTATGTCTGTACAACGAGATATAATATGTATTTTATGGGGTGAAGTTGACAACACAGTCAATACATAAACACCGGCATCATGATTACCAGCATGCAGATTTAAAACCTCTATACGCTATCAACTATTTTCCAATTTGTATTCTATGTCTGCGTGTCGGGTTGCGAATTAAATCATGCACAAGAAGAGTCTCGAATATACTTCAAATTGTACCTCCTACTAAACAAAACAAGCATCGACGCGTGCATTGTTTCCAGGCATATCAGGTGGACAGTGGTACTTGAAATACCTATGAACATCCACCGATAACAACCTACATGTATGTCATTTCCGGACATCTGAGATCGAAGTAGCCCGCAATCTGTGCTCCAAGTTTTTTCCAGTCCACTCCTTCCAGCACCGGCTCATCTTCCTGTGCGTAACAATGAAAGAATCAAGGAAGCTTGAGCGCGTATTTATACTATTGTTAACAGCCAAGGAGCGCTTGTACTATAGTCTATTGTACCGTTCTGGTGCGATATATAGAATTCGAAATAGACTATTTGACCTACGATATATCATGCGACCAACTAACAGCACAGGCGATAATACAATAATAATAAAAATCCATTGCAATGGCGAAGGCATGACTACAATAGAATGTAGTTGAATGAGTCAACGAAGGCGAAGGTATCCCTGAATTTGCTATACACATAGACACCTGAATTGGATGAACGACATTCGATACATATGAAATTCGAATTGCGGCATACCCACCATGTGAGGAAGGACATACAAGCTCGATGATATTATGCATAGACACTTTTCAAGCCTATCTATCCGGTGTAGAGCTGTCACGAGGATCGAGGCTAAACAAATGTTGACCTATTTTGCAACAATCACGTCTTCTAACCAAACAGTAATGTATTAGACTATCTCAGAACACAGTTGAGTTCGATATCTCTCGCTCGCACTTCACCGTGACATAGACCAGCGATGATGAGGCAACGAGCGCTTGGTTTTCTGTGCGTAATCCAGCATATGTATATCTACATCGAGAAAAAAAAGTGTATATATTCATATATATCTATATATATATA